CACGGGGGAAGCACAAGACAAAACATTTATTCTTTTAGTAAGCATCAGCCACAGTGCACCAGCTGCTTAGGTATTAAATATTTTGTAGGCACTATTGTATAGATATAAAAATCATAATAATCATTGCTATAACTTAGCATATGTGAGGAAAAAAAAAAAAAAAAAGATTTTTTCTTGCTGTTGTACCATGGGACTGGAAAAATGTGGCCATTAAAAGAAAACACCTCTGTAAGTATAAGCATTCAGTCATTCTTCAGCCGTAAACATTACATTATCCTAGATTAAGTCGAAGTTGATGGTTCTGTTCTCATTTAACAGCTGATAAATATCATATTAGAATGTTGAGATGAGTGTGTCTGCAGTATACAACTGGTTACAATTTGCAACGTTGGCTAATTTTATATCTGTTCAGATATCTAAACTGTTCTGAAAAGAAAATTCACCCCTCCCTAAAATGCCCAGAAGCATATTAAAGTAGGATTGGTACATGAAATACATAAAGAGGAAAAGGTGATGATGAATCTCATATTAGAACAATATTTTAAAAATAAACTTATGAAAACGTAGAAATCATAACCATAGATTTTATGATTTCAATAAATATATTTATTGATTGTTTCTGAAGCCTGGCTTAAGTAGAAAAAAATTACATCCCAGGCTTATGGCTCATATACCTCTTCAATGGCTTGCTGGTTTTGCTGAATACATGGAACTATTGGGAATATTCCAACTTAAACTTTTTTTTTCTTTTTTCTTTTTATTTCCTCCAAATTGGAAAAGTCACAACTGAAATTGTTCAGGGCACAAGACTGATTAAACTTTGCTCAGAATGATTTTCTCAGATTTGTAATCATATTTCTGCTACAACTAAGGGGAAGAATCCAATGGACCTAATTTCCTTATTTCTTCTGTTGTCAAAGTTCCATGATATATGCTGTGTGTGGTCCTTCAGTCATGGCTATGGCATGTATTATTCCTTGTCCAAAAATTAAACTGAAAGATATTTCTCAAAAGTACATTCCTTATTACAGAGAGACAGGGAGATTTGGTTTGAGTCAGATTCATTTAGATATAAAGTAAATATTTTTACTAGGTGATCTTGCAAAATTTGCTGCCCAGTTATTTTGTTCAAAGTTTGAAAGCTTCATTAACTGATCTCAAACAAATTTTATAACTATCTTTTTTTTTTTTTTTTTTTTTTTTTTTTTTTTCACCAAGGGTTGTTTTTATTGTCTTTTTAGTCTGTTTTTTGAGACCAAAAATATTAATGGAAATTTTTCCCCCTTATTTTTCAAGGACATTGCTAAAGCAATTTTACAGGAAGAATATGAAACAAGTAAAAACACATAAGAAGGGAGTTTATGTATGTAGTACGTTGTCTGCTTAGCCAACATACTTAAGGTTTATTCCTAGTTCCAACTATTTCTTTCAGTTTTTCATAAAGAGGGAAAGAATGGCAGCAATACTGATGGGTCCATGGAATTAGTTCCATGTGTGTTAAATAATCAGGAACAGATTACAAGCTAATGTAGCTAACCACCAACTGTAACAAAGGCATGTCAGATAAGGAAGCAGCACTCTAATTTTTGCCAATGCTAGAGAGATATGACATGAGATTTAGATCTGTTTATATGTGCTTTTTTTTTTTCTCCTCATCAATAAACAATAACTATATTTCAGCTATTCATTCTGTGTTTTGACAGCTGATCAAATCTGCAAAGCACAGTTGCTAGGTATATGAATTTTGTGAGATCCAGATGCAACTTCCCTGTGTAAAAGTTTTGCTATACACTCTTTAGTGTTCTCATTAGCTCATTTTTCTTTTGCAAGTGGTTTTACTTCTAGGACAAATGGAAGTAGTGAAAACCTTGGCTTGCTCCCAGTCGAAGGAACGTTTGTGTAGTGAATATGCAATTTATGAAGCATTTGTAAGTACTTGAGAGTGAGCATAAATTTTAATAAATCCTTTTTCCAGTAGACTTTTTTTTTTTTAATTTCTGGTCTTATAGCCAGACTTAATACGTATTTTAGAAAAGCTGAAAGTTGAAATATCTGAAGTCATCCCTCATATAACTTGTCTTGTCTTTCTTCAGGCTGAAATCTAAACTAAATTACAATACACTGGCAGCACCTTCCTTTGAATAATTGTCCACTTCAGTGCTCAACTTAGTCTGGAAAGACATTTGTATAGACAATTATACTCCCCATCACTGCAATCTGAAAAGTACATAGATTAACCTCTAATTTCATCATATAGTTTTGGTGACTGAAGTAAATTACTTAATTTCAGTTTATGGATTAGGATATCCCTATGAGATTTACAGCCTTGTTGTATACTGAGAAGGGCATACTGTCGCTTACAGTCTGGTATCTTTTCATGGACTAAAAGCAGCTTTTGAATGTTGACCATCTTCTGGCTCTGGACAGCCCAGATGTCATGCCCATTGAGACGGTCAGATTCAACTTCTAAGACTTTTCCTGGCCATGGTGGACATTGTCCCTTCAATGAAGATGCCAAAGCCTTCAGCAATGCCATGCAATTCAGTTTACCACAGGGGGTCAGTAGAAATCAGTGAGAAATATTCCCTTCTTTCTCTACCCCAGAAACTGAAATGCTCACAGCCACTGTGCCATTCCCTGTTAATTTCAGGAATTCGTTGAGGGAAAAACAGATGTGACTGTTTCTTTATAAACAGACATCATTTACCACTAAAATATATGAGTGGTTTCCTAAAATTTCATAGAAGTTTGCTCTTGATCAAAGCTAGCTGGGCTTTTAAAAATGGCGTTAATTTATTTTTCCAGGATAACTTTTTATCTGTATTTCTTCATTACACTTGTTAAAACAAGTGTTTCAGATGTGGCATAGACTTTTAAGATTTATAACCAGGGAGCAGAATTTCTGTTTCTTCCAAACTGTTTCGCACAGAATAACTTTTCTTTAAAAATTAATACAATTAAATTAGAAAGAATATGAAAATGAAATTAAATCATGTTTTCTACTAAGCTCAATGCAACTAAGAAAGTTGCAAGCAATTGCATATATTTTCTCTTATCTAATCCATTTCTATTCTGTTCCTGATTGCTCCATGAAGACCATTCATCCCATTGGTGCTGTATCACATTCCTTTTATTCCAAAGTTTACTGTGGAACAGTAAAAAAAAAGAGATCACCGGCTTGAAGTTTGATTCTCAGTCATTTTTGCAACAAAACAGTACACCTAAAGGAGCCTTTCCAATATAAATTACAACAAATTAAAGACCTGCATACACCACAGTAGGAACTGGCATCTCATAAACTTTACCAAATGCTATATGACCATTTTCCTTTAGGCAAGTATGAGGTCAAGCTGATGTCAGTTAATCTTAGACTGTAGCAGTATATTGGGTAGTGTTCATGGAGCCCTTGAAATTCCTCTTATTTTTTCTAGCTGCAGCCATTCATCCTGAACAGTTCAGATGTAATGTTAATGAGATAACACTGAGAAATAGATTGGAAAATATTCAGATTTTAATTTATTGAGACTGTTTTAGTAGAAGGGTCAAAATATTGGGAAAAAAAAAAAAAAAAAAAAAAAAAAAAAAAAAAAAAGTCCAGTGGTTGAAATTTTCACACAGAATCACAGAATCACAGAATTTCTAGGTTGGAAGAGACCTCAAGATCATCAAGTCCAACCTCTAACCTAACACAAACAGTCCCCACTGAACCATATCCCTAAGCTCTACACCTAAACGTCTGTTAAAGACTTCCAGGGATGGTGACTCCACCACTTCCCTGGGCAGCCTGTTCCAATGTCTAACAACCCTTTCGGTAAAGAAGTTCTTCCTAACATCTAACCTAAAACTCCCCTTCAGGGAATTATGGTTTTGTAGATTGAGTCATTTACTAGAAATATTATTGGTTTCACTTGGCTTCATTTTTATGATAGAGACAGCGTAAGTGGTAGAAAATAAAACTAGATGTTTTATTATTTTTTGTCTCCAACAAATCAGTTTGGCCACTCCTGTTGCTGTTTGAGAGAAAACTTTCATTAGTATCACTGTAGAGTGACTTCACTGTGCTTTGTTCAGAGCTAGTGTATAATGAATATATGTTCAGCATGGTGAACAGAAAGAGTGTGTACAGTGAAACAAGGTTAATTTTTCATATATATTGCAAAAGCCAAAGCAATATTACTCTTTTAACTCAGGCAGTGATATTCCCTAAGCTTTTCATTGTTAATATGTATAGCAACACTCACAATTTGTTATGACTACAAAATGTATACTCAACAAATATTGTTAAAAAAAAACAACAACAAAAAAACTTCAGTTGAAGAGGTAAAAAACAGTAGATTTACTGTTGCTTAGGCAACTTTAATTTTGCTTCCTTCCAAGTCTGTCAGTGAATTGAATGTGGTGGGGAATCCTTTTGACAAGGTAGCAGAAATTGGTCCCCTCTATTTTGGAGAAAGTGTGCAGGGCATACAGTGAAAACTACTGTACATGCACTGCAACGTGCATACCAGTCAATGGCAGGTGGAAATGGGATTATTGCAATGGGTGCTGGTTATGCATGCTGCATTCAGGTGAAACCTGTAAAAAAACCTCTTCCTGCTCCCTAGGGAACCTGGAGAGTTCTGCCTTGGACATTAGGAACAAAAAACAAAAAAAAAACAAAACAAAAACAAAACCAAAAAAAAAAAAAAAAAAACCGTAAAAATGAAGTAAAGAAGCTCAGAATTCCTTGTAATGATAGAGACCAGTGCTGCTTCTGCTCCGTGTTGCCTGCTCCAGACAGAGGTATGGGCAATAGAAGCCTTGTTTTGGTTTCAGGAGATGAGCAACTCCGGGTGATTACTGCATGGTGATAGATGCCACATCAGCATTAGTGTAAACACACAATATTTATGTGTTTCTTTATTCTTCTGACATGCAGTCAAAACGTGAAGAATAAAAATGCATATATATTTTAAGATGATGGATGTCTTTGCAAATTCAAAATCTTTTTTTTTTTTCAGGCACCAGAATTCAATTCCTGTGTGTCACTCTTTGTCATGAGGAGCTGATCAAAGTCATAGAGTTCAGAGAGCCTTCTGAGGAACAGTTGTGTCTGGAGACCTAAAGAAAGATTACACCCTAAATGTGTTGTATCCTGTAAATAAACATTGCAAGTTATAGTTCACCTAATATGGAATGAATAAACACGGTGGAGAAAAACTAATATTATTATCCTCATGCAAACTTAGAGTGTTGAAATACAGGTAATGACTGAATGTCTTGCCTCAAGTCACAGCAGAGCTAGAAATTAAACTTCAGTGTCCTCAGTCTCCTTTCTGTCTCTTAAATATCCTGTCTTGCAGCAACATCATCCACTTACGTCTGCAGTAGTGATCAAAATTGACACACGGGGCCTGACAGGTCTACCTTCCTGAGGACTGATGTGCTGGTGTACACAGGAGGAAAGATGGAACAGGGCGATGACATTCTGGGTGCTGAGGAAAGAGCTCAGTTTGAAAGCTTCAAAGGGGCTGTGAGGTGAAGAAAAATGGGAAAGTTTATACTCAGTAGCAGGAAGGGGGAGGAAACTTGGTTGATAAATACAAATTTAAGACATATTTAGAAGCTGGGTATGCAAGCTGAACTTTCCCTGGGGCTAATTGCCGTAATGGCATGTTAAATAAATCCTTTCTAAACTTGGCTGTAGCACAGGAATGTTGTTTAATAATGAAGTGCTCATGGACAAATTCTCCAAAGTATTAGGCAGAAGCAGGCTTTTATTTAACATGAATTGTACTATATGTTTTTTTTTCCTATCTACTTAGTGTGGCCATCACAAATCAGATCATTTTTTTTCTGTTAATCTCAGAGCTGCCTTCTCCTTATGCTGTCTTGGTTAACCATAAATATAACACCTGTTTTTTGTTTTGTTTTGTTTTGTGTTTGTATAGCTCCCTGACAGATACAGAAATGTTCTTTGTTTTTTTTTTTTTTTTTTTTTTTTACTGAGCAGTTGGTAACTTGGGCCTTTCCTTTTCCATTATGCATGTGCTCGAGACAAGGCAAAGCTGCTGGGAAATGGAAAATATTTATGAAAGAGTAGTCTCTGTGGACAAGCCTCTTGAACAAGGGTATTCAGCTGATGAGTTAGAACAGCCTGTTCTAACGCTTAAATAGGAACGATACCATTTCATACTGAGGAAATTTGAAAAAGGAAAAGAAAAAGAGAAGAAAAAAAGAAAAGGAAAAGGAAAAGAATACATGTACAATACAACAACAATACAACAACAATAGAGTAAAGTGTATTTCTAAAATTTAAAATGTTTAAGCCTGAGAGTTCCTCTCACTCTATGTATATAGAAATAGCTAAATACAGTCATAGATTTCCTGTCATGCTTAGCATATGGGCAAGTGACGCTGAGAAGTAGTCCAAAGGTGCAAATGGTTGACTGCACTTGGAAAAATATTCCAGAATGTCACTGAGGGGGTTAACACTTCAAGGAAAGGGATTTTCCCACTCTTCTCTGTGCTGATGTGGCCTCACCTTAAGTCCTCTGTGTAGTTTTGGGCACCACAACATAAGAAGGACATAAAACCATCCAAAGATGGAGAAGGGTCTGGAGGGGAAGAGCAGCTGAGGTCCCTTGGTCTGTCCAGCCCACACAGAGCAGCCTGAGGGGAGGCCTCATGGTGGCCTGCAGCTCCCTCACAAGGGGAGCGGAGGGGCAGGTGCTGAGCTCTGCTCTCTGGGGACAGCGACAGGACCCTGGGACCCGAGGGAACGGCATGGAGCTGGGACAAGGGAGGGTCAGGCTGGGGGTTAGGGAAAGGTTCTGCACCAAGAGGGTGGTTGGGCACTGTAGCAGACTGCCCAGGGCAGTGGTCATGGCACTGAGCCTGCTGGAGTTCAAGAAATATTTAGAAAATGCTCTCAGACACATGGCCTGATTTTTGGGTGGTCCTGTGAGGAACCAGGAGCTGCACTCAATGATCTTTGTGGGTCCCTTCCTACTCAGGATATTCTATGGTTCTTTGATTCTATGAGTGACAGTTTCTGCACCAAGATAGGCTGGAAACATGTCAGTGTCATCCTTCTGGGGTATTTGGGGCATTTCTGCTTCTCATTCCATTAACAGGGACAAATAGATGACTGGAAGAATGGTAATAAAATTCTGGAATCTTTGAAAATGTTTCGGTTTTGAAGGAAATTAAAGGATTGACTGACTTAATGAGAAATCCATAGGTATGAGTTACAAAAACACTGTAGTGAAAGGAGGTTCATCATACCCAATTAATCCCTATTCCCCATCTCTACTATAGCAATTGTGCTGGTGTAAATTAATGGGGTCACTGTTTTGAATGGGTAGCACCTTTGTAGACTTTATAGGAGTTAAGAAGGAAATCTGCTTTTGAAATGTAGCTTCACAACTACACATGATGTAATCGCAGTGGCATAACCTTGCAAACCCATGTCTTTTAGTGTTCAGAGATGCCTTTTCTTCAAGTAAATATAAAGTAAAATTAGGAACATATATGTCCACTATCTGAAAAGATGTTTTATGTATTTGATAGCTTTTCCCAAAAAGCATACACACCATTTTATTTTATTTTATTTTATTTTATTTTATTTTATTTTACTTTATTTTATTTATTATTTTGATGAAACATTTCCTTCAAGTGTTTTCAAGAGAGAACAGAAATAAAAGTATATGATTCTTCTATGTCTTAGAATAATGTGCTTACATATTAGGGAATCTATTTGGTAGAAATCAATATCTTTTCATTTCATCTGGGGAAGAATAATATTAGACACTTGTTGGTTCTTGGCATTCTTAACACTCTGTTTGCAAAGGGAAACAAAGAATTTTACAGCTGCTTCCAAGAGAGCATATTATTAGATCTTAGTACTTAACTGCATTTCCTCACAAACATTGATTTGCTGTTGTTATTGTTATGACTGCATCCAGGTGGTCATATAGTTTGAAAGAAATATGCAATTAAATTGATATCACAAAATTATACTTGCTTTATTTGTATCTGTCTAGGTCCTGGACTCAGAAGTAAGTCATTTGATTTTTCTTCAGAAATGGAAAACTCAATTTCCTCTTATGAACTCCTCTACTGTTAGAAACCATTGAGAGTGACAGAGCCTGAGGCTTCTTCTAACCTGGCATCTTCACAGAGGGTGGCTCTTCTGGGTTTTCATCAGCTGCCTACAGCATGGGAGACATCCCATATTAAATTCCCTTGCATATCCCAGAAAAGTGCCATAATCACCAGGCTTTGTTTGGACTGGATTGGAGGACAAGAAGGAAGCACAAAGCAGAGGAGCTGGAGGAAAGCACTGTCCCAGTCTAAATGTTCCTGTCAAATTCACAATATAGCCCAGGAGTCTGGGCACCCCTCTGTGAGCTGGAGCCTTGGGTCCCTTGACGAGATGAGGTACAGCGAGGACTTAAGCCTTCCTACTCCCTGCCAGCAGGGGCTGTAGACAGTGGATAATTGTTTGTACATGTATTCTGACCAGAAATTCTTTCCACATTGAAACAGTATATACACTATTGTTGAGGGCTTTCTTTCACAAACTGATTTTTTTATTTTAAAAATGAATCCCTTTAAACATTCCCGGCCAGCTCCACAGTGTATGTGCTGAAGACATGACTACATACACATTTTTACTTCAATATTATTGTCTTGTTGTTGTTGTTGTTCTGTTGAAGTTTTTTCTGTCTGATCCAATGTCAAAATTACAAAGACCATGTGATGCAAGTATTACAGTGTCTTACCTCGTACATACATAGAGTGTGATTTTCAGAACATCACGTCCATGGTTTCCCAGCTTCAGGCACATGCAGAATTTTTGTTGTCCAGTTGAGCTTTTGTACAATTAGTCACTCCATACTTTTTTTACAGCCATTACAGCAAGGGCATGAATCTTATTTTTCTCTAAATAATATCATGGATTTCAATTCAACAGTGGCAAGAATGTAACATTCCTTCTGCAAAATTTGTTCTTGCACATTAAAACTGATCATAGTCAACAGAAAATAAGTCTGTTTTTCCAAGAAATAATCATTTAAGCCAGGTCTTAGCTATGTCGTATTGGAATGACAACAGCCTACTCAGATATATGTTTACTGCATGCTGTCCTGTCTGCTAATACAGGACATCTCCATTAACACTGAGGGGCAGCGGAAGCCCTTCCAGAATGAAACTCTATGTGAACTCATTTATTTTGTTCTTGCTGTGGGGATATCGCCTACTGATTGACTGTACCCTGTAGTGCCATGGCTGGACACCTGTCCATGAGTAGGGACAGGTTATACAGAACAGCTGGATTGGTCAAATCTTCAACCAGATGGGCAGTAAGTTTGATCACTGTTGCTTACCGGTCTGGGATCAAACTTGCAGGTAACTGGAGTATGTCATGCTGCCTGGCAGGGCTTTAACTTGCAGACTTAACTTTTCTCAGGAGAAAACTATGCCAGATTCTGGCCTTTGAAGATTTCGGTAAACTTCTTTTTCAGGAAAAAAAAAAAAAAGGTTGCCAACTGGGATTTTTCATGAGTTGTCTGCTTTTCAAAGATCTTTATGAAAGGGGCTTAGTTAAGGGCATTGCTGAGGGAAACTAATTATAATTTTCAAATATGTTAGACTTAAATAAACATTTAATTAAAGTGAGACCAGCTCTTTCAGCCATTGCCTGTCTTCTCATTTTTGTAGAGTTGAGGAGTTCTGGGGAATTCCTGATATTACATTTTTTTTGACAGTGTCAGCAAATTCTTCAAACTAACCTTCAGTACTTCCTTTCTTTTCTCTTCCCTCCCTCCCAACTCCTTTTCTCAGAGACTTTAGCCTACTTTTTGTCTCTTAATTTTCCATTTTCCCTCTAATTCTTGCAACCTCCAGTCTCCTCCTGACCTTTCCCTCCTTGCCCATTACTCCCTGATCCTTTCCCCATGTTTTTCTTTCCCAGTCTCTCTTTCCCCAAACCATCTGAAACTCACCCACAAGCAGGGTTATATCCCCAGTAGCCTCTCCCTAGAGAATGCCCTGAAACATTAGCTCTCAGCAGCTGGGAGCATATTCTTTCATCTCCTCCTTGATTTGCATCATCCTTCTCTAAATGTCTATCTGCTCTTGGTGGCAACAGATACTGTATCTGGGCTGGCAAGAAGCAGAATGAACAAGGAAGATGATTTTGTCACTTGTTGAACAGCTCTACATGGCTGTCAGGCAGCCAAAGGACATGGGGTAATAGAGGACCAGACCAGGCCCTTGGTTGGGGGGGTACCTCCTATGTGATGTGAAGCATACAAAGATGTGTTCCTACTGAGATATCATAATGCTGTTTTTATGGAATTATCAGCATTATAACCATGACGGAGCATGCAAGATTAGATGCTGAGTGTGAGTCTTTCAGTTATTAAAAAATATATGTATCTTCAATAAAAACAAAGGGAAAATAGTCACACAAGGTTTTTCTTTCAAAAATCATCCAACTGATCCTAGTTTGCCCCAGGTTTAAAGTTCCCCCACCCTCCGAAATAATTTAATTTCACATTGCCTTGCTTTTTCTTTGCCTATTTTTTTTTTCCTCAAGGACTTCCAATGTTTAAGTGTGCTTTCTTGGTAAGACATGATTAAGGAGTATGATACTGCACTGAGATAAAATAAATGTAAACAGTATTTTCATCCCCATTTTGCAAAGGAACAAAGAAGGTATTGTGCAGTAGCCTGTGACACTGGCTGATATTGAACATGCATTAATACACTAAATTGTCACTATTTATTTATTTTTTATGTCTGCAACAATACAAGCAAACATAGCTGAGCAGATGTGTGCAGCAACTACACACACTTGCTAACTACAAACAAATAAACAAGGCATAACTTTAGCCATTCCTGTAGTTTTGTTAGAGTTATGGAATTATTGACAAAACAAAAAATAATAATAAATAATAATAATAATAATAATAAATAAAATAAAATAATAATTAAATCTGTGTAAAAAGCTCCAATTCTGTTCAAAAGACTGTGACCAAATTCTTATACACAACTCCCATGCAGGCTTTTGTTCAAACTTGTTCTTTTTCTTCATGATAAACATAAAACCTGATTTTTCTTTTCTATTTTAAAATATAGGTGTTGTGCAATAAACTCTTGTAAACTTTGCCTATCAACCTTGACATTCTAACCTTTAAATATAAAACCTTTAAATATAAATATCTCATAAATGTAGTTTACCATTAATCTCAACATTCTCTGTTCTTTTACTGTAATTAAAGTCTTGGAGATATTTTGCTTTCAATCTGCAGGTGTTTTGTGAAGACCTATCACTTTGTCCACCTGTTGATTCATTCTCAAAAGCAGAAGGTCTTTTTAAATTTTCATAATGTAGAAAAGTTACTCCAGGAAGATTCAGCAGTCTGAGAATTCAGTGACAGTCTAAATTAATTTGGATCAAGCAAGGAAGTGTTTTCTGAGCACATCATGATAGCCAGCCTGCTTATAAATTCTGTTTCAGCTGGGAGCAGATTTTTAGTCTAGAGGCATTTCAACAGAAAAACAAAAAATAGATCCCACTGAAGGTAAACAATTTCTAGGCTTTAAGAAAAAAATGTAAAAACACATTCAAAGTAACAGGTTCCTCTATAGGTTACAATTCTTGAACAGAACTGGAAAGATAAGCCCTGGTGAGATCACATTCAATGTCTTTTATGAAATGGATTTGATAACAATGCTCTGAATTTTGAAAAGTAAATAGTTGCTTGATTGGAGGGTTGGCCACAAGCACCTTCATCTTCATTTCCATACAGGCACAAAGATTCTTTAAAAAATGATTTGGTGATAATATTTTAGCATATATATGATTATCTATAATAAAGACAAACAAAACATAATACTCTTCATGAATCTTCTTCACACCATGAGACAACTATCACCTTGTATAACTCCTGTCCCTCAGATGAAGATTAAATTCTGCCATCTGTTAAAATACAAAATGTAATGTGGTTTAAAAAAACTCTTAAAGAACAAGGCATGGAGCTTAATTCGTGTTTTTCAGTTTCAAAGGTAAATTGATCTATAATCAATGTGGGGCTTTTAGTCACATTCACAGCTTGTCAATTGAATGAAAGCAATCATTTCAATTTTCTCTGCTATCTAGACATCATTATAACACAGATTCAGTGTTCTGTAAATGGAATCAAATCATTTATTATACCTATTAATAGACATATGATTTATCTTGAATTGCACATATTGGTTATTATGTAGTATAAATGAATCACTAAATATATAGTATATTGTATTACTTTTCCACTGATAGAAAATAACCTAATACCTGACATTTACCAAACTACAGAAATATGACATAGTAAGCATGTGTGAAAGCATCTCCCCTGTCTGATCAAATCACTAAATTAAGGATGCAATCATGTAAAACATCTTCTAGTTAAAATTTTCATCATATTCTAATAGATATTTTATATGCCTTGACCATCATTTAGAGAGGATAATTTCCATCCAGGCCGTGAAAAATAAATAAATAAATAAACAAACATATGTCCTGTATTTAGTAATTTAGTAATAGAGGTCTTCATCTCACATAATCTACTTCTTGCTATTAGGAATTCATGCATATGAGTACAGAGTAGCAACCTTAAAGTATTTTTAAACTCTAAATGTCTTCCCCAAAGTAAGGAATTAATAACTAATGGGATTTGCTATATCTTAAAATATGAATATAGATGCAGGGCTTTTTCTGTGGAATTAGATATTGTAAGCCATGTGTTTCTCTGATTTTTATATCTTTCATTTTTGTTATAAAAGTTCAGAGAATATTATACCTACCTCTGAGGACGTTTTGTTTAGTTCTTAAGTGTCTATATTCATATTTCACTTGTAGAGCTTTTGAAAAATATTGCCTTCAGCTATCTGAAAGCTGAAGTTTTCTTTGCAGCCACAGCAGAGTGGTGGCAACAACAGCAGTAATGAAAGTTTGCTTTGACTACCCTACAACTGCATTTCAGTCAGCCGTCAGGAAATATCATGCACCACAGCCCCCATCCCACATCTCAATTTTGATTTGTCTTGCAAAGCTGTTAATGACACTATTATTTGTGAGAAGAAGGTTTTAGACTGTGAACACAGTGTGTTTTTACAAACAATTTTTATCTAATAACACCTTCAGTAGCTGACAACCTGCACTAAATTTGCCCTGGGTTCTGATGGCTGGCAGCAAAGAATCTGAGACTCAGATTCATGTGACTCTAAGATTTTCTACTTAGAAGAAAAGGTAATGTCTAAGTTTTGTCTTAGGGATGTGTGGCAGTGGCAGATGTTCTTGGCAATTGTTAAATGGGCTCCAGATGGCAGCTTAGAAGTTTGACCTTAAACATTTCTAACCTTCAGCAGTAATTTTTATATGAAGAGATGTGTATATGCATGGCTTGTTCAGTTTTTCTCGTGGATTCAGACTGAAGATAAGATGATGAGAGGTTCATCAAGAAGATGGATGATGATATTATCTTGTCTTGAATTCATTGCATGTGAAGTCTGAAGGAATCCTATTTTCACCATTATCTAAAAAAAGAAAAAAAAAAAAAAGACAAAAAGAATTTAAGAGGAAAGAAATAGTCCAGTCATTTTTTTTTTTCATGTAGAAACTCAAGTAAAGCAAGTTTCTGTTTGAATCTTTTATTCATAGTCTGATAAAATTTCATCTATTTATGCAGATTGTTCTCTTTTAGGCAGAGTAAACCCTATCTTGATGTGTTTATCCTAACAGTGAACAAAGCACTCAGCTTTCAGGTTTAAATAACTCTTTTAATTTGATTTCTCCTTCAAAAGATGATGTATATATATTTAGATCATTTACTACTCTCAGCAGAATAATCACAAGACAGTTTGCCAGAGACTGCAAGGAAATTTGTCTCTATGGAAAGCTTTATAATTTAGAAAACAACATCTAAAATCACCTAACTTTCTTGTCTACTGGAACTGTTCTCTGGAAATGCAAAGATAAAGGAGGATAACTCATTGTTCATTTCCTCATTAGAAAAGAAAACCTGTTGTTGCAGCAAAACTTCTGCATGCCACTTTCAGAATGGGTATATGTATTAAGCAGACGGTTTTAAATGCAGAAGGTACTGGTACCTTCTTGGCGTGGGCCATGTGCCTTTGCATCATGGTTCAAGGGCAGAGCAGTGGGAGCACATCACAGCTGGGTTCTGCACCCCCTGGTTCCCTTGCATGGAAATGATGGTGTTGGGAGAGGACAGGACCATGCCTGTGTCTCACCCTGACAAGGGCTTGAAACACAGGAGAGATGTGTCCCTTAACAGGCTACTACTGTGTCCAGTAATTTAGAAATACTCATAATAATAAAAGCATCAGATATGACCTGGACCTGTAGAAACCCTGTCACTTCAATCAAATTTAGCACCAGAACTGCTGCACTCAAAATATCAAACTTTAGAGGGAAGAAAATGAAGCCTAAAGAAGGCCTGTATGTTCTAAAACACTTGTAAGCCCTTTTGAATGAAAAGATCTTTGAAAATATTGACATGGAAATATTTAAAAGCTGCCATTGATCATATCTTTGATCTATAGGTAATTCAAGAAAATAAGGCCTGATAACATATCTTATTAAAGCTGATGAACATAATCAGCAGCTTTCAGCCTGACTGGATATTGAATGCTCCTTTATATAGCAATAACTCAAAAGGGTAGGAAGCCATTGCCCAAAATAAATGGAAATAAAACCATGAGGCCAAACAGGGTTCCCTAAAGCTAATTGTAAGCTAGTCAGGCTGCAGCATTGATTTATGCAAATGCATATGTTTGTATGAGGGAGAAAGGAAGACAAATATTTGTGAGAGCAACCCTGGGAACAGGCAGAGAGGCTCAACAACAGCCTTGGGTTTTCACATAGGGCATCACAGCTTTGTAAAGTATCACTGGAAATGAACTGTCTGCTTGTTGGTGAGGTATTTTGCTCCATTTTGGTGGTTTACATAGCCAGCACCAATATGACTTGCCTATCCTTGGCATGTATTACATGTATTT